TGTTTGGGAACAGCAGAGAGCAAGAGGAAGAGCCATCCTGAGTGTACTGCCAAAGCTGCCCTTGAGGCATGGAGTTCAATTTGGCCAGGACTTCTCAATAGGTATACAGAGTCCACTGAAATGTCCCTGCAAGTTAGAGAGGCAGGAGCAAATACCCCACTCCCTCTCTCAACACAGATGGTGCTCCAGAAGGCTGCATCAGCCTGGAGCTATCAGGGATGGCCCAGGGATGTAGACACTGCAGCCCAAAGGGACTCATATTTCAGTCATAACCAGAGGACAGAAGGGGCTGGAGGGGGGGGGGTACAGAAGACACTGGTACAAAACCTTTTTTGGGTAACTCCATTCCCTGGCCAAAAAAGGGAGTCGGGGGGGGACACAACTGTTTGTGCATACACACAAACTTATGTCTAGACAGAAAAAAATCCAAATAATTCCCAGGGTAATAGCTCTGAGGATGGGGCTGTCTGGTAGAGCCCCAAGTGAACCCAGGCTGAGAACCAAAAGAACAGTGGCTTGGGAACTGAGAGCCCACACTCTGCCTCTTATTCTCCACACACATCCTGGGTCTCATTGTAGGAAAAGGGTTCCAGTAAGGAACATTTACACAGGGTGACACTTGCCTGGCACAGTACCAAGCCCAACTGGTTTGCACAAAATGCCCCCTCTCAATCTCTCTCCTACAGAGCCAGCAGAATAGCCCACTTCTCACATCCTCCTGGTGGGGATAGAGTATGAGGGAGGAACCTGAAGTAAGACCATCAGCCATACCAAGAACTTGGTAGCTACCAGATAAAGACTACAGAGCCCATGTGTGCCCTTTGAGCCACTCAGCTCAAGGACAGCACTTATGCCTCTACAGACATGGGATGGGGATGAATCCATGTTGACAATGTGACCACCAGAAGTTTCCTTCAAAAACAAACCTAAAAAATCCCCCATAAGAGTGAAGAAGGAACTCCCACATGTACAAGTCAATTCGCAGTTATCCTTTTCAGAAGGGTTTCATTTTGGTCTTAAGGTATCTGCCTTTCCAGAGAAGCAGAAAGAGCTGACAGTAGGTAACATAATCAGTCCACCTTGGGTATAAGTCAACCCCAACAACGTCCAAGAGACATCTGATCCAAAAGCCAGCACCCTTCTCTGAGGACCTCTCAGCTGCCATATGTGTATTATCCATGGGTCTTTCTTTGGCCTAAGTAACTTCATTTTTTTTTTGGCTGGAGCTGGGTTTGAACCCACCACCTCCAACATATGGGGTTGGAGCCCTAATCCTTTGAGCCACAGGTGCCGCCTAGGCCTAAGTAACTTCAAAAGGAGAACTGCAGGATATCTTGCATGAGCCAGAGTCCCAGTTTGAGGCTGTGATAGTGGCTGACCACACAGGCCAGCTCTTTCTAAAGAAATGGAACCGGCTTGGCACCTGTGGCTCAAGGGGCTAAGGCACCAGCCACATACACCTAAGGTGGCAGGTTTGAATCCAGCCCAGGCCGCCAAAACAACAATGACGGCTGCAACCAAAAAACAGCCGGGCGTTGTGGCAAGTGCCTGTGGTCCCAGCTACTTGGGAGACTGAGGCAGGAGACTCCCTTGAGCTCAGGAGTTGGAAGTTGCTGTGTGCTGTGATGCCACAACACTCTACCCAGGGGGACAGCTTGAGGCTCTGTCTCAAAAAAAAAGAAAAAGAAATGGAACCAAGGCCAAGCACAGCAGCTCACGCCTAAATCCTAGCACTCCCAGGTGGGAAGATACCATGAGCTCAGGAGTTTGAGACAAGCCTAACCAAGAATGAGACCCTGTGTCTACTAAAAACAGAAAAAAGAATTAGTCCAGGCATTGTGGCAGTCACTTGTAGTCCCACCTATTTTGGAGACTGAAACGGGAGGATTGCTTGAGTGCAGGAGTGTTGAGTGTGAGGTTGCCGTGAGCTACCACAGCTACAATGTCACCACTGCACACTAGCTCAGGTGACAGCAATACTGTGTCTCAAAAGAAAAAAAAAAAAGAAAGGAAAAAAAAGAAATGAATGCCAAACAGGGCCAGCTCTTTCTCACCCAGTAGAATGAGCTCTGTGGTCTGAGGAGGAGACAAGCAGCTCTGACACTCAGGAAGGGTGTGTAGAACCAGTGAGCAGCAGTGCACACCTGGTATGCACCAGGTCCCAAAAGTTGAAAGGTGTTCAACAGTAAGTCGCAGTTTCTCAGGATGACAGTAGCACCAGTGGGTCACCTCCTCCAGCAGAGGGCCACAGTAAAGTCCCTACACCAGAGGACAGTACAGACGCACTACAGCCTTTAGGAGGCAGTCCATCAGATTTATTTATTCCTACTCAACATAACTTCAGAACACAGGAGCAACTCTGTACAACTCTAGAAACTCACAGTTAGCTCCAAAACAATAGAAATTTTAAACTACAAAAGATGAATTGTATTCAGCAAATATAAAGGGTAATTTTAGGTTGTGTTGAACGTTTGTCAGACTATTTATAGTGCTCAGGTGCAGACTCAGATCTCGCCGGCCTCCTTCTCCTCTGACTTCCGTGAAGCTGCCTTCCCGTTGGAGCTCTCAAGCCTCCAGTCAATGGACCCACGCTCGCTCCGCCCACACTCCCAGGACTCCTCTCTTGCTACCCGCTCTCTGGAGAACCTGGGAAGTGGGAACCAGAGGCTCAGTGAAGGTTGATGGCCCTTTCCTGACTGGCTGCTCAAGATGACATTGTAGGCCCTCAGCACCAGGCCAGGGAAGACCAATCACCCACCCACCATACCCCAGGAGCCTTTAGCAGACTCAAGGGCAGCCAGGCCTTCTCCCTGCACAAAAAGTGTTAGGTAACCATTAAAAAGTAACCTCTGGAGAGAGAAGGGGATGGATGAAAACCTACCTAATGGGTATAATGAACATACCTGGGTGATGGGCACGCTTAGAACCCTGACTCAAACATAACAAAATCAATTCATGTAACCAAAAAAATACCTGTACCCCTGTAATATTTTGAAATAAAAAAACTTTTTAATTTAAAAGAAAAAGTGACCTTTGCAAGGTCCCATAACAGAAAGTGAACAGAGGAAAATACATTATACATGTGGAATAGAATCTACTATGTAAAATCAGAAAAAAAGTGCAGACTCATCAATCACAGAGCCAAGCAGAGCCTGGTCAGGCAGTAAGTCGCAGCCACCCCATGTATCAGGGTGACAGTGCACAGTGACCCAGAACTCAAGGTAGGGGGTACATGTGCAGTCCATGCACCTCCACAGCCTGCAGAATCCCACTCACAACTCCCTAAAGTCCCAACACTCAAGACCCACAGACAGGCCCCCACTCTTCTGAGCATAAGCCCAGCCCCATCCCTACCAGACAGGCCAAGGGCCCCACTGACAGACCCCCCAAAAGACCCTGGGAACACAAAGAGAAAGGGCTCACTCCTGGCTGCAGCTACTGAAGGAGTCAGAGTAGTTACTTGTATTTCGCACTCCGGTCCCGGGAAGCCCGGCGGTGTCCCCGGCTGTGACTCCGGGAACGGCTACGGTGGCGCCGGTGTCTGTCTCGGGACCGGGACCGGGAAGACTTCCGTCGCTCCCGCTCCCGGGATGTAGACCTTGACCGCCTCCGACGCCGGTCCCGGGAGCGTGACCTGGAAAAACCAGAAGCCCCTGAGAGTGGTGCCACCACAGGTGCTGATTCCCAAGGTCTCCAACAAAGCCCCTCAGTTCACTGCTTTACTGATACTTTCCTCTCTCCTCCCACAGACTCAAGACTCAGGTCTGAAGTATTCCCATCATGTGGTCTCTAAAGGTCAGACCCTTTCTAAGGATGCCCCTTGTAAGCACCTAGCTTGGACACCCTTGATCACCCTGCAGGCCCTGCCAGCACAGCACCATCAGATCTGCCCACTCAGAGGTGGATCATCCTGCTGCATTAAGCCTCAAGCAACTCTATGCCTCATGCCAACCCTACCTACCAGATTACAATCACGAAGTTGTAACAAGAAAACATTTAAAAAAGTACTCATAGGGGGCGGCATCTGTGGCTCGAAGGAGTAGGGGACCAGCCCCATATGCCAGAGGTAGTGGGTTCAGACCCAGCCCCGGCCAAAAAAAAAAAAAAAAAAGTACTCACAGGAAAAGACAATTAACTGAGAACATACACACTAATGGATCTGGAAACCTACCTCCTGCGATCTCTGGTTCTTGATCCAGACCTAAAAAGGGAAAAAAAGGTGAACAATTTCCCCAAAGTACCCTCATTCCTTACCCTCTGAGAGAAGGTACCCCAAATCACAGAGGTGAGGTGAGGAACTAACCACCCCCTCAACTTGCTGTCTTCTAGCTCTTTGTGCCCAGTAGGCGGTGGGAAATGGCAAGGCCTGCTCCCCTTGTGGCATACTTAGTGGCACCTCAGTACCCAGGCATCTGACTCAGCCTGGCAAAGTTACAAGGCCTAAGGAAATTTGTACGTGCCAAGAGCTAACTGCGCAGTGCCGTAGGTAACTAAATGACTCTCCAAAGCCTTCACAATGGATACCACCATGGAGTGTGCAGAGAGTCACAGAACAGAACAAACACTGAGCCACTGGGCTGGGCATAAATATAATGTCACCAAAAAGATGCCAAAGTTAGGCTCGGCGCCTATAGCTCAACGGGCTAAGGCGCCAGCCACGTACACCTAAGGTGGCGGGTTCGAATCCCCAGCCCAGACCCGCCAAAACAACAATGACGGCTGCAACCAAAAAATAGCTGG